CCTTGTGGGAGTTGTAGTCCTAGGACGGGCGATGCTTCCTGCCCCCTCGTCGTTTTTTTCCATGTACTTTGTGAATGTTTTTATGAACTACAATTAAACTTTCACTCAAAGCTGCATGATTTGGCGTTTCGTTATGTGATGTGCTAAAGTTTCATCAGGATCAATCTTGTGCTCTCAATTAATTTAATGAAATTAATTAATGGTGTTTAAGATAAACCCTATTCAAGGAATATGGAGTAGAGTTCAGGGTTCTTTCATCGCTCTATATAATTCCAGGCAATAATGGGAGGGTTTATTTAAAATTTTTTTATTCTTTTCTTGGTGGTGCCGAGTATCCAACTTATGCCAGGTAAGTCCTCTACCACTGAGCTACACCAGCAGCCCCATTTCATTCTTCTTTGTCAACTGCGCAGTGTACTGTGAGCTTCAAAGGGTGAGTTAATTGGCCAACGACGCAGCCAACCCGAAATGCAAAATGCGCTATAAAATCAAAGCAGACCAAAGAAGTCCTTGAAACAGGCTCTCTGAATGGTCATCTCTACTAAGTAAGTAAGTTGCTATGTGACCTTTGGCAATTTGTAGCTTTTACTGATTGCTTCTTACTGTTTCTTATACCCCAGTTGATTCAAATGTATGATATGTCAAGATCATTGTATTGTCATGAGCAACTAATAAAAAAATAAATGTAGATGAATAAAAAGAATAAACTGTAAATCTTCGATGACCCCAGAGTGAGTTATAACCTCTAGTAATAACACATCATATTTTGGAGTATACAATTTCTCATATTTTATAAATGTGCACACAATGTATATTCGTAACACAGGAACCATACTATATGTACTTTTAAAGTTTACTTATTTATTTGTGTTACTAGGGATTGAACACAGGGGCACTTAATCACTGAGCCACATCCCCAGCCCTTTTTTTATATTTTATTTAGGAACAGGGTCTCTGAGTTGTTATGGTCTTGCTAAGTTGCTAAGACTGGCCTGGAACTTGTGACCCTCCTGCTTCAGCCTGCTGATTCACTGGGATTACAGATGTACACCAGTGTATTTGCTTATATTTAAATTTAAAAGAGGCTGAGCATGTAGATCCATGAAAGAGTGTGTGCTTAGCACAGGGAAGGCCCAGGGTTCAATTCCCATCAACAAAAAATGAAAATAAACATAGTTTCTTTTTTATACTTTTAATCAAGGTATAATTTATACTTAATAAGGTAAATAAGTCTCAGTGCTCAGTGAACTTTACATAGTACAGACTGTTTTGTGATTTTTTTTTCTCTCTTAAAAACAGAATGTGAACATTTTCTAGAAATTGTATTGTTTCTACAATGGTTAAAATTGTTTCATAGTGCTGGGCACAGTGGCTGGGGAGGCTGAGGCAAGAGGATCGAGAGTTCCAAGCCAGCCTCAGCAACTTCGAGGCACTAAGCTACTCAGACCCTAAATAAAATACAAATAGGGCTGGGGATGTGGCTCAGTAGTTGAGTGCCCCTGAGTTCAATCCGTGGTACCCTTCCCCCCACCGCGAAATGACTTCATAGTATGTTACTATATGTGACGTTATTTATATGATTGCTGGACATTTCTTTTTTTTTTTTCTCAAAAACTTTTACTGTGGTAACTGTATCTTGGTTAAGATAACCATCATTATTGCTATATCTGCACATTTTCTTGATTATAATATTTGAATAAATTCCTGGGTATGGAATTGCTTAACAAAGATCATGTAAAGCCCTTTTAACTTTTTTTTTGTGTGTGTGTGATTGGGAATCGAACCCAGCGGTACTTAACCACTGAACTGCATCCCAGACCATTATATTTATTTTGAGACTAAATTGTCCAGACTGGCCTGAAATTTATAATCTTCCTGCTTCAGCCTCCTGAGTTGCTTGGATTATAGACATGTACTACCTAAAACTCTTTAATTTATGACCTACCAATTTCCATTTCAGAAAGAATGTACAAATTTCTTCTGCAGTTGTTGAGCACGTCTGTAAATCTACTAACTTCAGTATTCAGAATGAGAACATGATGGTCTAGGAAGAATCGTCCATGAGTTAATAACATCTGCTTTACCAAAATTCCTTTCATAAATATCTTTTATTGTTCCTGTTCTTCAGAACAACATGAAAGCATTGTCCTGACTCTTCTCAAGAACCACACTTTGGCCAGGCACAGACTGTTTCTTGGCAGGCCTGTAATCTCAGCAACTTGGAGGAGAAGACAGGAGGATCACAAGTTCTAGGCCAGTGTCAGCAACTTCACCAGAAACTTTCTCAACATAAAAAAGCCTGGGATGTAGCACAGTGGTAGAGTACCCCTGGTTTTATCCCCAGTACAAAATAAAATAAAATTAAAAACAAAACAAAACAAAACAAAAGAACAACACTTCTTTCTTTCCTTTCTGGTCAGAGTTTTGTCTTTGAGGTATTTCACATCATCTTTTTTGGTGTGTGCAGGGGGTGGGGGGTAGGGGCGTGGGTGACTGCTAGGGATCAAATCCAGGGCCTCACTCATACTAGAGAAGTACTTTACCACTAAGCCCTCTTTTATTTATTTATTTTTAATTGCAGTAAGATACGTATCATGCCAAAATTGTCATTTAACTTTCTTTTTGAGGTATAGGGAATTGAACCCAGGGGGACTTTATCCCTGAGTTACATTCCCACCCCTTTAAATTTTTTTTTTTTTTTTTTTTTTTTGAGACAGAGTTTTACTAGATTGGCTCAAGCTTGCCTTGAACTTGCAATCCTCTTGCTTCCCGAGTCACTGGGATTACAGGTGTGTGCCACTACACCATCCTTTCAACCTTTATTTGTTCATTTGTTTTGGTACTGGGAATTGAATCCAAGGGTGCTCTACCAGTGAGCTTCATCCCCAGCTGTTTGTTTTTCTTAATTTCTTTTGAAACACTTCTCACTAAGTTGCTGAGGGTCTCACTGAATYGTTGAGGCTGGCCTTGGATTTGTGATCCTCCTGCCTTAGTCTTCCAAGTGGCTGAGGTCATTGCCACTGTATCTGACTTCATTTGACCATTTTTAAGTGTGCAGTTCAGTGGCATTAAGTACATTTACATTGTTGTGAAGCTATTCATATCATCCATCTTCAGAACTTTTTTCATCTTCCCATACTGAAACTCTGTGCCCACTTAAAAAAATGACCCCATTTACCTCTCTCCCTACCCCCTAGTGACATCTACTTCAGTCTCCATGAACTCAGTTACTATAGATACCTCAAATAAATGGAACAAGGCAGTATTTGTCATTTTGCTTTCACTATGAAGCATAATGTCTTTAAGTTTCAGAATTTCTTTTTAAGCCTCTCAAGGTTGATTAATATTCCATATATATATATATGTATGTTTGTGTTTGTTGTTGTTGCTGGTGGTGGTGGTGGTGCCACTGCTGGAGTTGAACCCAGGGTTCCCTGCGTGCTAGGCAAAGCACTCTACCACTGAGCTACATCCCCATCCCCTCCATATTTTGTTTACTCATCTCTTGATGAACATATAGGTTGTCTTCACCTTTTACCTATTATGAATAATGCCGTGAGTTGTGTGTCTATACTCAGAAGTGAAATGGCTGGAGCATGTGGTAGTTCTATGTTTAATTTTGGGGAGACCACCATGTTGTTTTTCAAAGCAGCAATTTCACATCATGTAAAGGACAGCTATCAGTGATTCTGATTAAGATTTTGTGATACCCAAACAGAAATCCAGATACCTCAAGGGATGTGGAAAAATTTCCAAAACAAGAAGTAATTGCAGTTTGTTTTAAAATCTCAAACGGAACTTTTGGGAAGAGAGCATAGATAATGAAAGATTAGTAACAATGGTGCTTTCAGTTCTTATTCCCGCTTCTCTTCAGAAATAAACCTTAAATAAGATTTGTACAGGTGGGCTAGATGAAACAGTATTTTTTATTCTAAAGTTATAACTTATGGGGTGATTTGAATCRTTAAGGCAAGCTGGGTGCAGTGGCACATACCTATAATCCTAACTACTGGGGAGGCTGAGGCAGGAGGATTGTAAATTCAAGGCCAGCCTTAGCAACTAAGTAAGGATAAACCTGTACAGTGGATCTATGCCTGACTACTCACCTCTGAATCCCAGGGTAAGGCTGCCTTTCCAATGGACAAAATGAATTGAGATACAAGTTTGCTAGATCCACTCTGTACACCCGAACCTGGAGAAAGCCAGCCCAGGACAAATGGTGCAACAATCTGACTCAGGTTATCATATAATTTTCCTTCTTACTGTCCTATTTCCTGTGTAGAACAAAACACTATTTTAAATAACCCTGTTTCTGCTTAGTTTATCCTTTCTCTTTCTCTATCAGAAGGAAACCTCTAGAGTATGGGGGTGTATCTCAGTGGAAAAGCCCTTACCTAGCATTCACAGGTCATGAGTCTCACCCCCAGCAGCCCCTTTCCCACCCCCCCCCCCAAAAAAAAAATTCTACATGAATCAAGAATTTGTGTGAGCATAAAATAGGTCCTCAAAAAATATTTATTGAATGAGTATTATTAAACAAATGAGAGCTTGCTACCCTAGTTTTTATTTTCTTCCACTCTAAGATTATTGTAAAAATTACCTTTTTTGTTTGTTTGTTTTTGTTCCGGGGATGGAATCCAGGACATGGAGCATACTGGGTAAGTGTTATACACTCTCTAGCCGCCCCTCCCCACCCCATTACAAAATGTTCTAAATATGCAAAATACTCATTTCTCATCTAATAAATCCTAAAATTTTGCTACATTGTTTCAAACTTTCTTCTGTTTCTTAAAAAAGAAGAAGAAAAGATAAAAATATATAGAAAAAGACAAGGTGACCGATTTGTGGAATTACAAAAAAGGTTATTACTAACACATAAGATTCATCTTATGTGTTGATCTCACCACTTCAGAAACTACAGATCCCAGGCAGCACTGCAGCGCCAAGCGTGTGGTCTATTCTTTTTTCCTCAGCAAATGGCCAATGAGAGGTAGTGTTTACAAAGGTCTAGACTGACTTCTGGTGTATTGACTGTGATCAGTCTTAAAGCTAGCTTTTGCTGTTTGGAACGTGCCTTCATCATTCAGAGTTAAAGAGGGTTTTCCTATTAATTTGAAGCTCATCGTGTCTATTGTTTCTGAGAGAAGCTGATTTACTGGTCTAAATGGATGCAATACTGAATTACAGGTTGGACGATAGTGAAGATTACTACACATTACTGGGATGTGATGAACTCTCTTCGGTAAGACTGTGAATAATGCTGCTGTTTCTCACAGTATTTCAAGTTTTCATTTAAGATGTTAATTTCGAACTTTTAGCTACATTGTCTGAAATCCTAATCATGTATCACCTTAAAGCACTTTAACTTAAAGAATGTTAAAGATTTAACTGCATGTTGGTTCTTGTATAGTATTTCATGGCAATTATATGGAAACCTCTGATCAAATACTGTTTGTATATTTTCTGGCTAATGGTCATACATTCTATTTTACAATGTGCTAAAAATACATATTAAAAATTTGATGTAATTGCTGATGTTTTAGAGTATACACTAAGCTATACCTTTATTGTAGCATTTCATGTTATAATTGAAATGAAATGTAATTTTCTGGTTAATCAATTATTTTTTAAAAACATGTATTTTTATGATCATTTAAATTATAAATCAGGAATCATTGTTTTATATTAATATCTCGAATTGTGTGACAGAAATTACTTTTGGAAAGCATGGTTTCTGAAACAAAACATGTATGCATGAAACATGCATGAAAAACTGTTAAAGCATGTTAAGGAGTGTTCCAGCACTTCTTTATTAAAGCAAAATATTTTAAATTTAAATATAAAAGCAAATGTTTTGTTATTTATTCTTGTTTCATAAAATCAAGAGTTTTGTTTTGAGAATAAAGTGCAATATTAGACATAAAGAACTAAAATCTCTTTTCTTGCCACAGTGAGGAAGTTATCTTAGGTAATGTAAAATTAGAAAACACAGGGAGAAAACAAATTATAATGCTCTTTTAGTTACATATTTTTCTTGAAGAGTACTATGCTATTCTTGTTTATGTTGGTGGCAATTTGCTTATCGCAATTTATAAAGTTTATTACTAATTTTATCATGTTTCTCATCCAGTTTGGATTATACTGTTAGAAAATAAATTTTGAAGGAATTTTAAAAAATTAAAGTAACATAATTTAACTTGAGAAGTTTTATAATTTGGATTTTTAAAAATATGTGACAGATTATAAAGTCAAAGTCATTATAGTCTCACAATGAACCTCTTGATATGGTCAGTCAATCTTTGGTAGCTAGGCTATTGCTTTCCTGAGGAGTATTAGTTTTAGACTCACAAGAAATGATTCCATGATTTATTTATAGAATTTATAACAGTTTCATTTCATGATTTCCAGTTTAAGTCATACTTCTTTCTATGTACCATGACATGTATTAAAGGAAAATAAAAGCATTATTTCTTTTCTGGATATATTTTCCTGATCTGTCAATGGTGTAGCATTTCTAGGTAACTTTTTTTTTTTTTTTGTATCAGATTTTATGCAAGCATCCTGCTACTTAGCTACATTCCCAATTCCCAGCCCTGTTTTTTTTTTTTTTTTAAATTTTATTTTTAAATAGGCCTTGTTAAATTGCCCAGGCTGGCCTCAAACTTGCATCCTGCCTTAGCCTCTTGAGTAGCTAGGATTTCAGGGGTGCACCATCATACCTGGCTCATTTACTTTTAATGACATGACCTGTTACAATTTCCTTACTTCTTTGTGTCTTCTTTGTGTATGCATGATTTGCTCTATACTCCACTTTTTTTTTTTTTTTTTGGCGGGGGAGGGTCCTGGGATTGAACCTAGGGTCACTTTACCACCGAATTGCCTAGCCATTTTTATTTTTTATTTTGAGACAGAGTCTTGCTAAGTTGCCCAGGATGGCCTCGAACTTTTAATCCTCCTGTCTCAGCTTTCTAGTAGCTTCTCCCTCACTTTTTATTTTCAATGGATGTCCTTCCCATTAAAAAGTTTTATGCCATTTTTAATTTAATGTGACATTTTCTTAACTTGATTTGTACTGGATGAATTTCCTTCACTTAAAATATTACTTGATTTAGCGCTCTAAAATTAATCAGAACACTTCATACCAAAATGATTTCAAAGAAAATTGGTATTTTGATTTTACTTTTAATAATTAAATTGATCTACCCACATAATTTTTTTTTCTTTTTGGGGGTTGTTGTGTTGTGCTGAGGATTGAACCCAGGACTTTGTGCATGCAAGACAAGCACTGTACCAACTGAGCTATATCCCCAGTCCCCCCAACATAATTTTTTTTTTTTTTTTTGCACTGGGGATTGAACTCAGGGGCATTTGACCACTGAGCCTCATCTCTAGCCCTATTTTGTATTTTATTTAGAGACAGGGTCTCACTGAGTTGCTTAGCACCTGAACTAAATTGCTGAAGCTGGCTTTGAACTCACTATCCTCCTGTCTCAGCCTCTGGAGCCACTGGGATTACAGGTGTGCGCCACCATAATGGTCCAAATAATGTTTTGATTTGATTTATAGTTCTTACTATTTAAAACTTGTGTTGAAAATTAATTATATCCAAAGTTAAGTTTGCCTATTTTCCAATGGTTCTAGAACAGTAATTGTGAATCACATGTGTGAGGCCACAACAGCCCTCCCTTGGATACTTTTAAAAATCATCCTTTACAAATTAAAAATATAATCTTGATAATAAGCAATGAGACTAATTTCCTACTTTACCTTATGTATGATTATATATAAATCAGGGGAAATTTCCATGCTGTTGTGTTGAAAACAACATCTTTCCGATGTTAAAATAATATTCTGAAGTCTGATCTCTGATCAGCCAGCCTTTTCTCCATATGTGGGATTTGACAGGAAAGATACATGGTATGAAACCCTCTGAAGTATTGATACATACATACTTTGTACCACACTAGGTACAAAGTATCTTTCCTGATGAGGATCTTATTTAGTTCTTACTTGTTCTTATATATTTGGTCACTATTTGGGCAGTAATGCTAAAAAGGCTTCATGACTCCAAGATTTCATGGACTTGAAAATTGAGTAAAAACCTGATAAATTGAAACATCTATTTGTTTTTCTTATTGACTTCATACTTCCTGGGTTTGAATTTTGACCTCTCCCACTTATAACTGTGTGACCTGGAGAAACTTACTTTTCTATGCCTCAGTTTCCTAACTTGAAAATGGGCATCAATAGTACCCACTTTAAAGAGTTGTGGAGATTGAGATATGATTCATACAAAATGCTTGGTACAGTGCCTGATACAGAGTAGTAGGTTGTTGTAGGTGTGGTTGTGGCCATTGTTTTGAACTCATAGGGATATTGTGAACGTGGAGCTTTGTAAATTTATCTTATTCTAGAGGCTGCATTATTTTTAAAATGTCTTTTTTTTTTTCAGATTTCTTATTAGGTCTGGGTGAGAGCCTGGGAATCTGCATTTAGATATGTATCTGTAGCTGGGCATGGTGGCAAACGCCTGTAATCCCAGGGGCTGGGGAGGCCGAGGCAGGAGGATCGAGAGTTCAAAGCCAGCCTCAGCAACAGCCAGGCAATTAGCAACTCAGTGAGACCCTGTTTCTAAATAAAATACAAAATAGGGCTGGGGATGTGGCTCACTGGTTAAGCACCACTGGGTTCAATCCCTGGTACAAAGAAAACAAAAACAAAACAAAACGAAACAAAAACCTAGCAGGCAGATTTAGCTTAAGAGCTACTGTCAGTCAATCCTTGATCTAAATTATGTCTTACCTAATTTCATAAATTTTCCTATTAATGTCCATTTTYTGGTCCAGGATCTAAGCCAAGATCCCTTATAACACTAAATTGTCCTGTTTCCTTAGCTTCCTCCAATTTGAAATTTTTCTTACTTTATCTTTTATAACCTGGACATTTTGAAGAGTACTCATCAGTATATTCAGTAGAATATACTTCAATTTAGTTTTATATGATAACTTTTGAGGATTAGATTGAGATTATGCATTTTTTTGGGAAGCTATACCATGGCAGTGATGTTGTACCTTTGTTGTTTATTGACTGTGATCATTTGGTTAATATGGTGTCAGATCTCTTCTGCTAGGTTTCTATGGTAGGGTTATAATTTTTCCTTTTGTAATTATCAGTTATCTTGGGGTTAGATGATTTGACACTGTACTCTTTCCCCTCAAACTTTCACCCTGAGTTGATATCTTCTGGTGGATTTTGATCATGATACTAATGACTATGTCATTTGCCTAATGGTGACTTTCTATTTCCCTCATTTAATTTACATTTATTAGTTAGAATTCTTCTGTAAGGCCAAATTATTTTTTTTTAATTTATTATTTTTAGATATACATGACAATAGAGTATATCTTGACATTATACATACGTGGAGTATAACTTCTCATTCTTCTGTTTGTACATGATGTGGAGTTACTCTGGTCATGTATTCATACACGAACATGGGAAATTTATGTCTGATTCATTCTACTATTCTTTCCTATTCCCATGTAAGGTTAATTTTTTTCTTCTCCATTTATTCAATTTATTTAATGGGTTGTTATTATATTTTAAGGGCAATAACCCAAATGACTAACATTATTTATTTTGTGGTTCAAATTGTTGCTATGGTTCATGTTTTAATTAATTTCCATTTGATTGGAATGTATAAGAGGGTCTTTCATTTGTTTCAGGGATATTGCTAATATCTGGAGTTTTGTGAGTAAAATTCAGTTTCAAAATGAGTGAATTGAAATAATACTAATTAACTCACTTATTAAAACGAGTCCTCCATTCTATAGCACATTCTGTAGCAAACGGATTTCCATCACTAGAATCAGTTCATCCTTTTAAGAAAGCTTTTCTACTATAATGATGTTACTTAAAGAACATCTGTCAGTCTATAATCAGGTAATCATTGAACACTTTTTTATTTAATTTTTTTGTTCTAATTAGTTATACATGACAGTAGAATACATATTGACCCATTGCACACAAATGGAGCATAACGTCTCATTCCTCTGGCTGTACATGTTCCTGAGTCACACCGGTAGTGTAATCATACATGTACATGTATATAGGGTAATCATGTCTGTCTCATTCTACCATCCTTCCCATTCTCGCTGCCCCACCCTTCCCCTCACTCTCCTCTGCACAATCCAAAGTTCCTTCATTCTTTCTTACCAGTTGAACACTTTTTATTGGGCTAGT